GCACTTAGGATACACCTGAGGAAAAGAGCAGACAAAGATACTTATGTTTTGTATTTTTTTGTCGGGGGGGGTTTGGGGGACAACATAATATATAATTATATACCATGTTAGTAGATGATATACTATGTAAGAAATAGATTAGAGTAGGAAAGATTAGGAATCATGATGTGAAGTAAACAGTTGGATACGTAAGTCCGGAGTTGAGAGGAATGATCTGGGCTAGATATAGAGATTTGGGCAAAATTTTCATATATATATATATATATATACACACACACACACACACACACACACACACACACACACACATGCTATTTCATCATGAAACTAAATAAAATCACTAAGATAGTGTTAGGTAATATTAATAGTAGAGGAAGAATACCAAGAGAGTCCTGTTCCATTCTTAAGTTAGAAGAGAAAGAACTATTAAAAGCAAAGGAGAATAAGAAAGAATAACCAAGAATATGGGTCCTGTAAATCAAATGAAGAAAGTATATCAAGGGGAAAGGAAAAATTAACTTATCAGAAGTTGATGATAGGCCAAGAAGGGGAAAAGTCAGATGCTGCTGATGTGTCAAGTAAGAGGAATACCTGTTCATTAAATTTAGCACTGTGGAGATTACGGGGAACTTAAAAGAATATGAAATTGGAGTAATTGGGACAAAAGCGAATGAGATGGGATTAAGAGAAAATAGAGAGCCTTTGGAGATAGCAAGTATTGCTCGGTGTTATAATAGGGTGACCATATGACCAAATTTCCCTGGGACTGTATTATTATTCACCATATGTCCCAGCATATTAATTAATAGTGCTTTATTTTATTTTCAGATGCATCCAAGTTTGAACAATACATGGTTATGATTCATTGCTGTCCATATTCTTTTTGATACCCAAATTTGGCCAGTGGTAGCTCCTTTAAGCCAGCTTATGGCTTATGACAGTTTTGAGACCCCATTTTGAACCCCATTAGTCCTTCCTTTTCTGGTATAAGAAACTATGGCAGGACTTATACTTTTCCTTACTCATATCTGTAATCAGTCGTATTCGTAAGAAGCTCTGCTTCATGTTAGTGGTATTTAGAAACCAAGACTTGAAACATGGACAGATTTTCATGGGGAAAGGGAGTAAGAAGGGTAGGTATCCAGTTGAAGGAAGGTATTCTAAAGACAAAAATTTTAAAAAGTATATAGTTTACCAAAGATATTGAGATTGGAAAACAAAATTTATTCAGGGGATTCTATATAAAACTGAATTGATGGAGTGTAAGACTCCTACAAAGAGTGCATTATAAAATTAGAACAGAAAGTTACATTGAGGCTAGATAGTGAAAGGATTTAAATGTCAGACTGAAAGTCTTTGTCTTCTTTCTGTGTTCAGGATGGTGACATAAGGGTCTTAGAGTTACTGGTCAGAAAAACCAGTTAGGCTAGTATTAGTTCATTAAATATGAAATGTCCGATTTTGAATCAAAAGTTTATTATATCTCAGACAAGAAGCAGTACAGTCTTAAACTATCAACACAGTTTTGCCATCTGAATGGTAGCTTGTTAATGCCAACAGCAAAGAAGCCTGGAGAGCGAGTGACAATGAAATCACAAGACGCCATTTTCCACAGCTTGTTGAGAATTGAATATTTTTCCTTGCAAGAAGTTGTCCAAAGCCTGGAAGAAGTGGTAGTCAGTTGGTGCAAGGCCTGGTGAATACAGTGGATGACAGAGAGTTTCCAAGTCCAGCTGCTGTGTGTGGTTTTTGCAGCGTTGTTTGTGCAACATAGGGTCAAGCGTTGTCTTGCAAGAGGATTGGCCTGTTTCTGTTGCCCAGTCTCAGCTGCTTAATCGCAAACATCCTCATCATTTCAGTTGGTTGCAGTAGATATCCACTGTCATTGATTGACCAGGTTTCATGAAGCCGTAGTGGAAAATACCTGTGCTGGACCCACCAAACAGACACCATTAGCTTTTTTTAATGAATATTGGGTTTTGGACTGTTTTTTGGCACTTGATCATTATCTAACCATTGTGCCAAACGTTTGGGGTTATCAAAAATAATCCATTTTTGATCATACATAACAATATGGTATAGAAATCATTTGCCTTTATGTTTTGACAGCAAAGAAAGGCAATCTTCAAGACGATTTCTCTTCTGATGTTCGTTAATTAACGTGGAACCCATCTATCCAGCTTCTTTACCTTGCTGATCTGTTTCAAATGATCCAATATTGTTGGAATAGTAATGCCAAATCTTGATAATTCACATGTAGGTTGAGATGGATTCACTTCCACTGTGGCTTTCAGCTCATGATTATCCACCTTGGTCTCAGGTTGCCCACCTGGCTCATTTTCAAGATTAACATCACCAGAACGGCACTTCTCAAAACATCAAAGTACTGTGCATTCATTAACCACATCCTTCCCAAACACTTTGTTGATATTTCGAGCTGTCTGCTCTGCATTAGTTTCACAACAGAACTCATGTGAAAATAACACAAATTTTTGACTTATCTATGGTTTCACAAAAATTGCTCTAAAAAAAATTGAAAGATAATCACAAGCTAAAACGTACATTTGAAAAACTGGGTATGTACCTTCACCAAAAAAAATAAAACATGAGGTGTCAAAGTGAAATGTCAAAGATATTAACTGTCAAACTTAGTACTTAAGGAAATAGGACATTTCATACTTAAAACCTAATATTCTCCAACAATCCATAATGAAGTCCTGAACCTAGGGATAGGATAATTGTAATCCAAAGGAGGGAACAAATGTAACAGACAATACAGAAGACACGGCAGAAAGGGGGATGGGAGCATAACACAAGCATAATGAGAAGACGCACTATGTCAGGTGACTGAACTGTCTAACCTGAACCACAGAGGATTGAGATGCCTTTTTTTTTTTTTTTCTTGAGACAGAGTCTCACTGTGTTGCCCAGGCTAGAGTGCCGTGGCGTCATCCTAGCTCACAGCAACCTCAAACTCCTGGGCTCAAGCGATCCTCCTGCCTCAGCCTCCCGAGTAGCTGGGACTACAGGCATGCACCACCATGCCCGGCTAATTTTTTCTATATATTTTTAGTTGTCCAATTAATTTCTTTCTAATTTTAGTAGAGACGGGGTCTCGCTCTTGCTCAGGCTGGTTTCGAACTCCTGAGCTCAAACAATCCGCCCGCCTCAGCCTCCCAGAGAGCTAGAATTACAGGCATGAGCCACCACGCCTGGCCGTTGATTGCAATAAAGAACACAGAATAGGTGTAGGACGGAAACAGTGATATTGTATGTGGAAAAATTCCTTGGCAATATGATAGAGTATAACTATCAAAGTTTCATCTGGTAGAGCTGTATTTAAGAAACAGTACAACAGTATTTAGGAAATAATATTTGTTGTTACTGAAGGGTAAACCATAATGAAATTCCCATCTGTAGAAAAGCATGAAGATCTATCTAGATGCCGATAGCTCTCTCACAAATTATTTCAGATTCTTTATTTCGGAGAAATGCATGGTTTGCCTCATTTTCAAATCAAAATCTAAAAACCATACTTTTCTTGGCACGTTTCCATTTCTTATATTGGAGATTAACCCTTCATAACCTAAACATTGTGTTCCAACTTTAATCACAGTTTTGAAAACACAAAAGTGTTTAATATTTTATTAAGTTAAAAGCCTGACCCTAATGAGATCTTCTTGGAATTAAAAATGTCAACATGATTACTGCTTCCAAGATACTTTTTGTATTGACCCGATCTTCTTCCCCATAGCCTGACACAGAGTAGTTTGGTTGCAAAAATACTTTCTTTCCCCTTTCACCTAGAGGCAACGGTACACTGATTATATGAATTAGTCTGTTAGATTTTTCAAACAAAGATCTCTGGAGGGAAGAAAGACAGTCAATTCCCATCTTCCCCTATAGTTTGAACTACTAATCCTGTGGATCCTAGTAAGTTTTGCTATGACTAGCTTTCATAGTCAATTTGAGGGGTAATTTATATATTCTTGAAACATGAGTAAGTTAAATTTTATAGCCAAATTATAATCTATCATTGAAACTATAAACTCAATCCTAGAATAATAAAACTAGTTGTTTAAAACTGCTCCCTTTAAAAATATATTAGATATTCTGAGTCAGAATGCATGTAAATCAAGTTTCAGAGCAGTTCATAAGTCACGGCAATTTAGCATGAGCTTAGACTCTACAGCAGACTCTTAGCAGAGGATTCAGAAAGGCTTTGGGTGAAATTTTCTCTTGGGGGAATACTAATATTTAAGGTGCTTGCTATCTGTCCAATTGTAATAACACATCAAAGGGAGCCTTATTCTGAAAGTCAATACCTTATCTCTTCTGAATAAAAGTATAGGGAGGGATGAATAACGTCATAATATTTATTGTAGTTTTTGTGTTTAAAAAAGCCATTTGATATATTAGTTCGATGTCTGCTTAAAATAGCACTTGAACAAAAATTCCAGTTATAGTACAGTATTCCTATCCACATGTTTACTAAACACAATTTTTAAATTTCATATGAACTGTGTTTTAGGAGATAGTATTCCCTTTTAACTACACATACGGTTGTATTTAAAACTGAGGCAATAAATGAGTTGGCCCCAAAATACTCAAATATGAGTGCTGTGACATGGAAAGTTTAAGCCATCCAAGCGCATCTAGATTTTACTTAGTTTTAAGGTAAGTATTTCATATTTGCAGAGCCGCTTGACTAGGCATAAAATCTTTGTTACAGTTGCTTTTATTGAATTCTTGAAAGTACTGCTTCATACTTGCTTTATATGTTCTTAGAAGGATTAGCTCTTAAAGTCATTGTGCTGTGACTTTTTTAGTAGCATGATAATTTCTTACTGTTAAGAAATGTGGAGATTATTTTCTAAAAATTAAGATTTTATTTAACATCAAGTTTCGTAAAGCAGACATGGGAAGGAGTTTAACTCAATAATAATGACAATTTAAAATTGGACTCATAACTAAAATTAATTTATTTTATTCTTTTACAGGAATTAAAACCTGATCTAGTGACTAAATCCGCTCTTGGTGATGATATCAACTTTGAAAAAATCTGTAAAAAGGTATCTATAATGAATTGTAATTGTTTTATGAAAAGTTCCTTATTTATATTGCTTGTGTTTTTTCTTGAAGAGAAAACTTATTAAGAGGCCAGTTACTGTTAGTATATAATTACTTTTCCTCACTGAGCTCCATTCTTGCCACCAAAAAATATTTTACAGTAATTTATTAATTTTGCTTTACTGTGATCCCATACCTTACAAGGTCCTTAAAGGTGTGTTGAACTTAGTATAACATTTTATATGTTATATAACAATTATTCTGATAAGCTTACTGGTTAGAGCTATTCTTTCCAAATCAATTTCATGAATATCTTCTTTAATCTCTGCATTTACCCTGTGAAAGATTTAATTTTTACTCCCTTTTTACAACTGAGGGAACTGGAGCCCCAAAAGAATTATATTAGCTGATTAAAACTATACTACTATTATGTGGAGTGGTCAGTATGTTTATCCAGATCTTCTGCTCTTTGGATTTGTTACTCCTGCTTCATCCTTGCTGTTTCCCCTTTTTCATTTCCACCCACTTTGCTAATGCTGCCTACACAAGACACTTTCACTTGATAACAGATTTTGTATTCATTTATTTTTCTCTGTTGCTCTTCTGTTTTCACTTTCATTGATTTTTGCTCTAATCTACATTATTTCTTTCCGTCTTCTTGCTTTGTGTTTAATTTACCTTTTTTCTAGTTTCTTCATGTGGAAGCTTAAATTACTAATTTTAGACATTCTTTTCTAAAGTAAGCATTTAATGCTATAAATTTCCCTCTAAGCACTACTTCAGCTGCATCACCTGAATTTTGATTTTTTTTTTTTTAGTTTAAAATGCATTTAATTTCCCTTGATATTTCCTTTCTATGGTTTAATTAGAAATGTGTTTGTTTAATTTCCAGATAGTTGGGGGTTTTCCAGGTATCTTTTTGTATTTTTTGTTTAATTCCTTTATGATCCATGAAAATACTTTTTAGGATTTCTGTTCTTTTTAAATTTCCTAATGTTTGAGTTATAATCTAGAATATGGGGTATCTTGTTGAATATTCCATGTGCATTTGAAAACATTATGTATTCTCTTGGGATCAGTGTTCTATAAATACCAATTAGGTGAAAATATCAGTTGGATCAAAGCGGTTGATGATGTTGTTCTGGTGGTCCATTTCTTTCCTGATTTTTCTGCCTACTTTATTATTAAGGGAGGTATGTTGGACTCTTCGACTATAAGTGTCAGTTTGCCTATTCAATATTTCCATTTATCAGTGTGCATTTTGCTATGTGCATTTTGAAACATGTATGTTAGGCACATAAACTTTCAGGATTCTTTTGTCTTTTTGGGGAATTGACCTTTATCATTATCCTTCATAACATTTCTTGTGCTGAAGTTTACCTTGTTTGAAATTAATATACCCGGTACAGCTTTCTTTCAGTTACTATTTACATGATATATCTTTTTCCATCATTTTACTTTTAACCTATATATGTCTGTACACTTAAAGTGTTTTTTTTTAAATCAATAGCATATATTTAGATCTTGCTTTTTTTATTATTATTTATGATTATTTTTCTAACTTCAGCGTGTTACAGGGGTACAGTGCCTTTTTAATATATTGCCTTTGCCCCACCTGAGTCAGAGTTTCAAGCATGTCCCTCCCCCAGATGGTGGGCACCGCACCCAATTAGATGTGTATGTACCCATACCCTCCTCCCCCCTCTCATCTGCCCAACGCCTGGTAAATGTTACTACTACTATATGTGCACCTAAGTGTTGATGAATTGATACCAATTTGATGGTGAGTACGTGTGGTGCTTGTTTTTCCATTCTAGTGATACTTCACTCAGTAGAATGGGCTCCAGCTCTATCTAGGATAATACAAGAGGTGCTAGATCACCATTGTTTTTTGTAGCTAAGTAGAACGCCATGGAATACTATACCACATTTTGTTAATCCACTCATGTATTAATGGGCACTTGGGTTGTTTCCACATCTTTGCAGTTGTGAATTGTGCTGCTATGAACATTCGAGTGCAGGTGTCTTTTTTATAGAGCGACTTTTGTTCTTTTGGGTAGATGCCCAGTAATGGGATTGCTGGATCAAGTGATAGTTCTACTTGTATCTCTTTGAGGTATCTCCATATTACTTTCCACAGAGATTGTACTAGTTTGCAGTCCCACCAGCAGTGTATGAGTGTTCCTATCTCTCCACATCCATGCCAACATTTATTGTGTTGGGATATTTTAATTAAAGCCATTGTCACTGGAGTTAACTGATATCTCACTGTGGTTTTGATTTGCATTTCCCTGATGATTAGAGATGTTGAACATTTTTTCATATGTTTGTTGGCCATAAGTCTGTCATCCTTTGAAAAGTTTCTGTTCATGTCCTTTGCCCGCTTTTTAATTGGGTTGTTTGATTTTTTCTTGCTGATTTTCCTAAGTTGTATATAGATTCTACTTTTCAGGCCTTTATTGTTATGTGTAGCATATGAATATTTTCTCCCATTCTGTAGGTTGTCTGTTTGCTCTAGTGGTGGTTTCCTTGGCTATGCAGAAGCTTTTTAATTTGATCAGGTCCCATTTATTTATTTTTGTTGTTGCTGTGATTGCCTTGAGGGTCTTCTTCATAAATTCTTTCCCTAGGCCAATGTCTATGGGAGTTTTTGAAACATTTTCTTCTAGAATTCTTATAGTTTCATGCCTTAGGTTTAAGTCTCCTATCCACTCTGAGTTGATTTTTGTGAGAGGTGAGAGGTGCAGATCCTGTTTCAGTCTTCTGCATGTGTCTGTCCAATTTTCCCAGCACCATGTATTGAATAAGGATTCTTTTCCTCAATGTATGTTTTTGTCTGCTTTGTATAAAATTAGATGGCTATGTGAGGATGGTTTTATATCTGCATTCTGAGTTCTGTTCCATTGGTCTATGTCTCTGTTACTCTGCAAGTACCATGCTGTTTTAATTACTGTAGCTTTGTAGTATAGCTTAAAGTCTGGTAAATTGATGCCACCCAATTTGTTCTTTTTGCTTAAGATTGCTTTTGCTATACGGGCTCTTCTCTGGTTCCATACAAAGCATAGAATTATTTTTTCTAGATCTGCGAAAAATGACGTTGCTATTTTAAAAGGAATTGCATTGAATCTGTAGATCACTTTAGGCAGTATAGACATTTTAACAATGTTGATTCTGCCAACCCATGAGCATGGTATGGTTTTCTACCTGTTTACGCCCTCTGCTATTTCCTTCCTCAGTGTTTCATAGTTCTCCCTGTAGAGGTCTTTCACCTCCTTAGTTAAATATATTCCTAGGTATTTTATTTTCTTTTTTGCTATTATGAAGGGTATTGAGCCTTTGATTTGGTTCTGAGTTTGACTGTTGTTGGCATATAGAAATGCTACTGATTTCTCTACATTGATTTTGTAACCTGAGACTTTGCTGAATTTGTTTATCAATTCCAGTAGTCTCATGGCAGAATTTTTCAGGTTTTCGAGATATAAGATCATATCATATCATCAGCAAATAGCCATAGTGTGACCTGTTCTGCCCCCATTTGTATGCTCTCAATTTCCTTCTCTTGTGTGGTTGCTCTGGCTAGGACTTCCAGCACTATGTTGAATAGAAGCAGTGATAGAGGGCAACCTTATTTGATTTCAGTTCTAAGTGGGAATGCTTTCAGTTTTTCCCCATTCTGTATGATGTTGGCTGTCTGTCATATATGGCTTTTATCATTTTTACGTAAGTACCGTCTATGCCTATTTTATTAAGCGTTCTTATCATAAAAGGGTGGTGAATTTTGTCAAATGCTTCTTCTACGTCTATTGAGAGGATCATATTGTCTTTGTTTTTGCTTCTATTTATGTGACGAATTACATTTATAGATTTGCATATGTTGAACCATCCGTGCATCTCTGGGATGAAGCCCACTTGGTCGTGATGTATTATTTTTTTGATAAGCATCTGAATTCGGTTTGCTAGGATTTTGTTGAGAATTTTTGCATCTATATTCATAAGGAATTTTGGTCTGTAGTTTTCTTTTTTTGTTGTGTCCTTTCCTGGTTTTGATATCAGGGCGATGCTGGCTTCGTAAAACATGTTGGAGAGGATTCCTTCCTTCTCGATGTTGTGGAATAATTTCTGCAGGATAGGCACCAGTTCTTCTTTGTAGGTCTAGTAAAATTTGGGTGTGAAAACATCTGGTCCGGGACTTTTCTTTTTAGGAAGGTTTTTTATTGCTGCTTCAATTTCAGTACTTGATATTGATCTGTTCAGGAATTCTATTTCTTCCTGATTGAGCCTAAGGAAGCTGTGTGTTTCTAAGAATTTGTCCACTTCCTCCACATTTTCCAGTTTATGTGCATAGAGGTTTTTATAGTATTCATAGATGATATTTTGTATTTCCGTGGTATCAGTTGTAATTTCTCCTTTTTCATTCCTGGTAGAACTTGATAGAGTCCTTTCTTTTTTGCTTCTCGTTAATCTAGCAAGAGAGGTGTGTCAATTTTGTTTATTTTTTCAAAGAACCAACTTTTTGTTTTATTAATCGTCCATGTAGTTTTTTTAGTAACGATTTCATTTAGTTCTGCTCTGATCTTTGTTATTTCTTTTCTTCTGCTGGGTTTGAGGTTCGTTCGCTCATCCTTTTCCAGTCCTTTGAGATGATTCATTAGATTGTTGATTTGTGATCTTTCTGTCTTTTGTATGTTGGCATTTATGGATATCAGTTTTCCTCTCAGGCCTACTTTAGCTGTGTCCCACAGATTTTAATAACTTGCGTCTCCTTTTTTTTTTTGAGATAGAATCTCACTCTCTTGCCTGGGCTAGAGTGCTGTGGCATCAGCCTAACTCACAGCAACCTCAAACTCCTGGGCTCAAGCGATCCTCCTGCTTCAGCCTCCTGGGTAGTTGGGACTACAGGCACACACCACCATCCACGGCTAATTTTTTCTATTTTTAATTTGGCTAATTTCCTTCAATTTTTTTTTTTTTTTTAGTAGAGATGGGGTCTTGCTCTTGTTCA